GCATTTGATCCCCACAATTGTCCCCATACCTCATTAATAGATGGAATTAATTGAGGTATGTTTTTGGAGGACTTAGGTTTTTGGGCTTTATTGCCTAAAGGATTAGGGGTTCTCTTGCCTAAGATGCTTAGGGCTGTAGTCGACTAAGAAGCTTAGTTCTTTAGTTGCCTAAGATGCTTAGGGCTTTAATAGCCTACGATTCTTAGGGCTTAATTTGTATAAGAAGCTTAGAATTTAGTTTTCTTTTCTCTCTTTTCCTTTTTACTCACTTCCATTTATGTTCCTTCACTTGGTTCATAGGTTGGAGCTTGGCTGATATAAGTAAAGGAGAAACATTCATTGTTGCTTGTACAAGGGACTGACTTACTTTGCTCATGAGCTAGTTGAGCAATTAGAGTTTCTCAAGAGTCAAATCGAGTCTGATATGGTTAGGGCAAAAATGCGTGAGAAGTAACTTAAAGATTCTAGAGTGGAGAATGTCTTCTTGAAGAATAAGGTTATTGAGATAGAGACTTGAGTTGAAGAGCTTCAAGAGGAACTTGCTAAGGCTGCAAGGGAAAATACTTAGCAAGTAAAGAATATTGTCTATGATCATTACTTTGGGATCTTTGGACATAGTGATTAGCATAAAATATTGCATATATTGTATGTGGTTATACCCTTTTTATACTTACTTTTGTTGTGATTTTGGAAAGAAATACAGTTAATCTACTTTTTAATGAAATCTTGTGTGAATGTAGGTGAAGAATTGCAAATGGCTTGAGTTAAGCCCCCATTGAAGTGCTTAAAGACAATGGAGATTAAGGAATAACTTAAAGGAAGGATTGGGATGTGAAGAAACCAAGAAAAAGACAAAATGGATGAAAACCTTCCGGAAGGTTGGGTCACAGACCTGCTAGAAGGTCTGCACTTTGAACTACGTAATGCCCTGCCAAAACCTTCCGTAAGGTTTTGCCTTTTGGAATAAACCTCTAGAAGGTTTCCATCAACCTTCTGGAAGGTTTGGGCCACTGGACAACTTTCTTCCCTTGCCTTGTCAAAACCTTTCAAAAGGTTTTGCTCAGAAATGTCAGACACCTGAAATTCAGTCTCCAACCACCTTGGGGTCCCACCTACACTTCTCCCACACGTACCCTGACATGTCCTTCCTACAACCATGCATCCCTTACACATTTTTTTGACTTTGGAAGATAAGGCATGGGAGAAGAGGAGTGAGAATGAGAGAGGTTGGCAATGTGGTAGAGGAGTAAAGACATATCTGCACCTTGCTTGTGCAGGATTCCAAGCTTCTCTAATCATGGAATTCAGTTAGCCCAGAGACCAATATACTCCATGTACGAAATTACAGGGGGGACTCTCCACATTACAGCATTGTTCTGCACTTTTTAGATAGAGAAGCTCAAGGTAGAAGATATAATTTTTAGAGAGAGAAAACTTAATTTCTTGCAATTTCTTTACCCATTCCACTTGCTGTAAGCTGTAACACTCTGTTAATCTTTATTTATTGAATTGTAATCCCTTTTATTTCAAGTGTAGTCAAGTTTAATTCAATGTTCTTGTATTTCCATAATCTTTGCTAGGTTTCACTTGTCTTCTTTGTAACTTTTCCATTTTAGTGTTAAATGAACTTCTCTTCGTAAAGATTATGGAAATGAGCTTTTCCATTTTAGTGTTAAATGAAGTTCACTTGTCTTCCTAGCATTAATACAAGTTTTAAGTTCCATTTTCATCTCATTTTCATTTCCATTCCTTCTAAATGTCTCTTTACATCATGAATGTTTTTCCGTTAGTTCTGAGCAGCTAAGCTTTTTTGTTGGCTAATCCAAGGGGAATTTTCTCTTGGGTATGCTAAATCAACTTTTCTCTATTCTATCTCTTAGTGTAAAGTACTTGGTTTGACTATGTTGAGTGCGAACGTGATTGTGAGCTCTTGATACACCGTAGACTTATCTTGGGGTATGCTTGAGCCTACATTCCACATTAGTCCCTCACTTCCTACGAATCAATCAAGCACCTAGGCACCATTGGTAGATTGTTCTGAGTTGATTTGACATTCCTATTAGAATGACTTTTTCGGATTAGCCAACCTTGTTCTTATTGCATTCTACAACCAATCTTCATTCACAAACACACAACCTCAAACTCAAAAGATTTTACTTTTTTTTTACCTTTTGCAAAATCACCTTTACCACAATTCAACCATCCTTGGAATACTCCATTCCAAGTAAAACCTGATACATGAAAAGTCTCTCTACGCTTGGGGAGCACTTTTGCACACACACATACATTTTCATCCCACACACATGTTCACCCCATTTCTTGCATCATTTCGAAGGAGAGTGACACTCACCTATTTGTATAAGCCATACACATAAATTGGGTGATGTTTGGAGATTAGGTTCAACGAAATAAGGTCAAGCATATAGTCAAGAAGAAATATGCAAGAGAGAAGAACAAGTCATTTAGAGATGGTTGGGGAGGAGCTCTCAAGCAATTGGGATTGATGTGTCATATCCAGTTTGGGAGGACGTTCCATGGCCTGAGAGTGACTTCATGATTCTTGAGATCATGAAGAAGTTGCTTGATAGTGATGGTTTGAGTCTTCTAACACATGTGCCCCCCTTTCTGACTAAAGGGGAGGGTCCCCACAAGTTGAGGGGTTTGATGCTTAGAGGTGACAAATCCTTAAGAAAGGCTAAGTAGCCTACTAAGCAATTGTAGAAATTGCTAGTCGTCTGTCAAAGGTTGAGTAACTTAGAGGGCATCTTTAAAGGTTTCATGGAGGAAAATTAGCCTGAAAGGCAACTGTGTAACTTGCGAGGAGGCCAAGTAGCCTTGAAGGGCAATCGTGGAGGTTGAAAGGAGGCCAAGTAGCCTTGAAAGTCAACTATGGAGATCACATGGAGGCCAAGTAGCCTTGAGGTGCAACCACGGAGGTTGACTTAAACTGAAACCATAGATGTTGGTTTGAGGTGAAACCATGGAAGTTGGCTTGAATTGAAACCATGAAGGTTGGCTTGAGGTGCAACCATGGAGATTGGCTCGAGGTGCAATCACGGAGGTTGGCTTTACATTTAACCATGGAGGTTGGCTATAGGTGTAACTATGGAGGTTGGCTTGAGGTGCAAACAAGGAGGTTGATAAGAGGCGAAGAAGCCTTGAGGTGGAACCACAGAGGTTGGCTTAAGGTAGAACCTTAGAGGTTGACAAGAGGTGAAGGAGCCTTGAGGTGCAACCACAGAGATTGGCTTGAGGTAGAACCTTAGAGGTTTGCAAGAGGCAAAGGAGCCTTGAGGTGCAACCATAGAGGTTGGTTTAAGGTAGAACCTTGGAGGTTGGCAAGAGGTGAAGGAGCCTTGAGGTGCAGCCATAGAGGTTGGCTTGAGATACAACCTTAGAGGTTGGTAAGAGGCGAAGGAGCCTTAAGGTGCAATTACAGAGATTGGCTTGAGATGAAGTGCAACCTTATAGGTTGGCTTGAGGTCAAGTAGCCTTGAGGCTTGAGGTGCAACCAATGAGGCTGGCTTAAGGCAAGGTAGCTGTGTGACTCATTTTTGGGTCGTGGCTTCTTTCGTCTCACATGGCTCAAAGCTTTTGAGTTACTAGAAAACTTAGTTGTTTTCCCACAGACGGCGCCAATTTTGCAGGAATAATTTCACACAAAGAGTAAACACCTTGTACGAACGGAGATGGTGGTGAAGAAGCCTCGTTGAACCTTCAAGACAAGAAAATAATTAGGTGAACTGATGACCACAGGCCAAAGGAACTCCGATGGTTAAGCCAAATCACAAGTCAGAGAGAAGTATTGAGTAAATAGGCTAGGATTGAATGATTTGCCTGATACCTGGAGACCTTTATTTATAGCAATAGAGAGATGTATCCCAAAGTAATCTGAACTCTTGGTTGATTGGCTCAACCTTGTCACCAGGCCCTAGATGCACGGAGTAGAGTTAGATTAGGACTCTTGGTCCTAGATCCTTATCTACAACTCCTGCTTATTCGAGGTAGAATCATACTAGGATACTAGATCCTAGATTGAAGGAAGAGATATGCTCTCCAGGAGGCATTATTATCCTTATCACTAGTCCCTTGATACTCGAAGTAGAGTTGGACTAGGACTCTTAAGTCCTTGATTAGACCTTAGCTGAGTCGTTGAGACTTAGTGGTTAAGAGTAGGCTCGTGCAAGGACCCCCCTTTGACTAGTGTTGACTGGTAATAGCAGGTAGGCGTTAGAAGCTGGGCAGTAGTAGGTAAGCGGTAGCAATTGAGCAGTAACAGGTAGGCAATAGCAGGTAGGTGGTAACAGCTAGACAATAGCAACTAGGCCTTGTTACTGCTGATCAGCAGTAGCAACTTGGCAATACATCTAGTTCCCTCACTACTATTAAATAAAATTATTTGAAGTGTAATTAATGACAAAGTCCAATAATTATAGTTACTATAATACCATTTGATCATGTTAGTCGATACATCAATTAGGACATATTTTTAAATACAGTAATGTAACATTGACCAAATTTTGGGACTAAATTTAGAACCCAAATGACATGACAGCTGACTTAGACTTCTTTATTTGGTGCTATGTTATTTGGGCCCCAATAAAGACTACAAATAATATGCTGCCATGTCATTTAGGCTCTAAATTTGGTTCTAAAATTTAGTTAGCGTAACATTACTGTTTTAAATATGGATGCTAATATATGTGATGTCGAACACTTATGCCTACACCTTATATCCATATCAACGTCATAATCAACTAAAAGGAAGAGAAGGAATTGTCACGTGACCATATCAGTAATAATAAACCAATGACATAACTATCTATTTGGTCTCTACCTTCGTCTAAATTTGAAGTGTTAAAATTTATGTAACAACTACTGATGGAATGGTAAATCTGGTAGACAAGGTACAAATTCAGTTGCAGATTGATGCAATCAGATGGCCACTTTACGTGTCTTATAAAGTAGTGTTAACATGCATTGTGTAACAGTTTTTTGAGATGCAACGGCATGATGCTGTTAGGGCACTTGAAATTTATCGGAAGGCAGGAGATCAGGTATGCATGATTTATGCATCGTTGTGTACTTCTGTTGACGTACGCTTCACTACCTCCAAATTTTGTTGTCTTACATCTTGATGTGGAATGTAACTTTGTTACTTCAGGCAGTGAGGTTATCCGAGTTCTTTGAGATCTGCAGGGATTGTTTAGTTTCAAAGAATTCTTCGTGTACGCAGAATATGACCTTAAACTATACCTTAATCACCAACTCACGTGATGTACATGTGATGAATTGGAAAAGTTAACCGCAAATTTTGACGAACTGTCACATTGACACAAATTGTATAATTTAGGGACTAAATTGACATAAATAATAATTTAAAGACTTAATTGACATAGTATAATTCTATACGTAACTCGGAGGTGGTCATTTTCACCTCCCACAAATCAACAACCCCTATTATAAGCTCTGCAGATCACATACACCTCTCTCAATCTCTCTCTCTCTCTGCCATGGAGCTTCTAATCTTTTTGACTTTGCCTCTTCTGCTTCTGCCTCTTCTCCTTCTTCTAACCAAGAGATCTTCCAAAAGACTCCCACCAGGTTCAATGGGAATACCCATCATAGGCCCTGAACCTGAGTCTTTTTCGAGCCATGAGAGCCAACAAGGGAGAACAATGGATCCAAGAAAGAATAAAAAAGTACGGACCCATTTCAAAACTCAACGTTTTTGTAACACCAACAGTTCTTCTCCATTGACAAGCTGCAAACAAGTTCATATACACCTGTGACAGCAACATTCTTGTTAATAAGCAACCAGCATCGTTGCGGAGGCTATGTGGCGAGAGGAATATCTTGGAGCTGACCGGTGAGGATCACCGCCGCATGAGGGCGGCGCTTGTATCGTTTTTAAAGCCGGAGGTGCTGAGGCAGTATGTTGGGAAGATGGATGAAGAAGTAAGAATGCACCTCCAAATGCACTGGCATGACAAACAGCAGGTCAAGGTATGTCAGTTATTGCCATTGGTGAGAAAAAAAATACTATAGCTTCCTATTAATCAATATGATAATTTCATAAGGCCAAAATATTTTTTTTAAGATTATGCTTTTCGTGTCATTGTGCTCTCTAATATTTTTATTGTGTTAATTAAGTTCCTCCAAGTTTTTAATTTGTATCACTGTACTTCAATCGAAGAGCATAGTTTAAATTGATTGACGAAGATGATCATGTGTATCTCTTGTGATCACAAACTTTCAAAATCTAAATGACTAAAATGATATAATTAAAATAATAAGAATTAAAATGACAAAAGAACACATATTTCAAGAACTATAAGTATACCTAACCTATTTAATATTGTAACAGTGATATGTTCCTGATGGGTCAAGCCCAAAATGACTCAATCTATGTGCAAAGTCCAAATATCAATTAAGAAGTCCTACCTCATTTAAAGATCCACCAAGCCCAACATAGCCTAAGACCAAATTAGATTCTTTGCTTAGCCACGTCATCAATGGGAGAACATGAGAAGTCTTATCTGCACCACCGAAGGAAACGGTCCACCCTTACCATATTTTTGACCGCGTCTCATGGAGAGCTCCTCAACCACCTCGCTCGTTGAGAAGAGATCGAAGCTCAACTGAAATGGTTGCTTAGTCGCTGAAAAGTAGTCCCAACCTATTAAGGAGCTACTATAAATTGTACACTCCATCAACACTTAGGAGGAGACTGATTGCCTGGCATCACACCTTCCCTGACTCTCTCTTCTCCCTCGAAGCTTGTATTCTCTGTCTCCACACCCTTAAATTAATAAAGTACCCCACAACGAAAGCCATTCAAGAGTGGACGTAGGTCGAGTTGACCGAACCACTATAAATCTTGTCTCCTCCAATTCTCTCTTTACTTTTACTGCATTTATTATTTACACTTGACAGGTGGTATACAAAACCATTTTTGTGCATCATCAGTTTGGCGCCGTCTATGAGAAACGACAAAATTCTCACTCCCGAACATTACATCCACTAAACCAATGGCGATCACTACCTGATCCATGAACCAACCTGAAGACAATCCTCCACGAGAGGAGGAGGTTATTTCTCCACCTACCAACTCTGTCCCGAATGCTCCAGCTCCGAATCCCCAACAAATGTTGGAGACCATGCAGCAGCTGGTGGCCCAAAACCAACAGTTACTGCAACTCATGCTTCCTGGACAAGGAGGAGCACAACTTAGAGGTGCACAACATGGAGGACCATAAGGAGGAGCATAACTCGGAGGTGCACAACATGGAGGACCCCAAGGAGGAGCACAACTTGGAGGTGCACAACATGGAAGACCCCAAGGAGGAGCACAACATGGAGGACCCCAAGGAGCTCCACGCCCTGAACATTAAGGAGCACCACGCCCTGCTGCTCCACGCCTAGGCTCCCCCTTGGGCGCCCCACTTGGGGGAGCCCAACATGAGGTAGTTCCACCTCCCCCTCCTCTTGCTTCCCATGGAGAGGACCCTTATCTCTAAGGGGATGAGGGCGAAAACCAAAGCATCGAGCATGAAATTCATTTCCATGATCATTTCAGAGGAGCCCCCAATCATTGGGACGAAAAAATCAAGGAAGTATAAAATCAACTGGGTGATGTCTTCAACGCCATGAAGGCACAGGGACCCGAAACTGTAGACCACCTGGTAAGGCGTACGGATACGCCTTTCAAGCCTGATGTAGCAAACTACCCCTTCCCTCAGAAGTTCAAAATGCCATTTGTGGAGACCTTTGATGGAACAAAGGATCCACTAGACCACCTCGACACTTACAAGACTTTGATGCAGCTGCACAACGTACCAGACGAAATCATGTGCAGGACATTTCCAACCACCTTAAAGGGGTTTGCCCAACAGTGGTTTGCTAAGCTCTCCCCCGCCTCCATTGCCTCCTTCGCTGAGCTTAGCAAATCATTCGTTTCACATTTCATTGGAGGGCGTCGCCATCAGAAGTCTGTTACGCACCTACTTTGTATAAAACAGGACCGCGAGGAGAGCCTGAGGAGTTATCTCACTCATTTTAACGAGGAGGTACTCCAAGTTGATAAACCCGACGATAAGGTGACGATGACCGCCTTCTTGGGTGGCCTCCGTTCATCAAGCTTCCTTTTCTCAGTGATGAAGCGCCCATCAAAAAGCATGCTAGAGTTGCTAGCCAAGGCCCAAAAGTACATGAATGCGAAAGACATCACAAGGGCCAGGAAAGGTGAGTCCTCCAAAGCGGTGGAGAAGAGGAAGGAAAGGGAGAGGGACGATAAGAAAGAGACTAGCAACAAGCGTGGCAGAACAAAGAGAGTCCCTGTCAAGGACCGGCTAGGTCCTGCTCCTCAGAGGGACCGTCAACCCTTCACTCCCCTCAATGCTGCCATGGGACACATCCTATTCCAGATTCAGCATGACCCCGTTATAAAGTGGCCTGGGAAAATGAAGTTTCCTCCAAATAGTAGAAATCCTAATAAGTATTGTCGCTTCCATCGCGACCACGGGCATGACATCGATGACTGCTACGACCTCAAAAGGAAAATTGAGGAGCTCATCCAGTGTGGTCACCTACACCAGTATGTTACTGGAAGGGAACGAGCACCACAACCTCACAATCAAGAAGATCAGCAGTCCGTGGGGGAGATACACACCATCTTAAGAGGACTAGCAGGAGGGGAGGAGAGTCATTTTCTGCAATGAAGGCCCACGCTAGAAAGACAAGGCATGTCGACGAGATGCGCCCATCTAAGGTGCCGAAGCAGGACAGCGATGAAGTTATATCTTTCTCAGATAAGGACCTGGAGGGAATCCAGCACCCCCATGATGACCCCTTGGTGCTCACCATGACAGTGGCCAATTTTAATGTGCGCAGGATCCTGGTGGATAGTGGTAGCTCTGCGGATATCTTGTTCGCAGAGGCTTATGACAAGCTCAACCTGGACAGGGAGAGGCTGCAGCCTATCAGGTCACCTCTCATTGGATTCTCAGGGGAGAAGGTGTATCCCCTTGGGTCCATCACATTTCCTGTCACCGTCGGAGTAGCACCCCAAAGCTCCACAGTTATGGTCAATTTCCTGGTAATAGAGTGCCCGTCAGCCTACAACATCATAATAGGGCGGCCAGCTCTTAACACATTGAGAGTTGTGCCCTCCACTTATCATCTCGTTCTCTGTTTTCCAACTTCAAATGGATTCGGAGAGGTCAAAGGAGACCAAGTAGCAGCCAGAGAGTGCTATGTCTCCTCTGTGAAGGCTAGGAAGCCCCAAGAAGTTTTGCAGGTTGAGGTCCTTGACCCAAGGGATGACTCCACTACAAAAAGAGGAGAACCAGTCGAGGAGCTCACCTCTGTGGTCTTGGATGAGGAACATCCAGACAGAAGAATTTACATTGGCTCTTCCCTTTCTGAAGATCTGGCTAGCCTGCTAATAGATTTTTTGAAGCACAACATGGATGTCTTTGCGTGGTCGCATGAAGACCTTGAGGGCATCGACCCAGAAGTGGCCACACACCGTCTCAATGTTGATCCACGTTACAAGCCTGTTCGTCAAAAGTTAAGGGGAGCCTCTACTGAAAGGGCCCAAGCTATGGACAAGGAGGTTGGAAACCTAATAGATAACGGGGCAATCAGAGAAGTAGCATATCCTGAGTGGCTCTCCAACGTGGTAATGGTCACTAAAGCTAATGGAAAGTGGCGCCTCTGCGTCGACTTCACAGAACTCAACAAGGCATGCCCAAAAGATAGTTACCTACTGCCACAAATTGACCTCCTCATCGACGCCACCGCAGGGCATGAGTTGCTTACTTTCCTGGATGCATACTCTGGGTACAACCAGATTAGCATGTATCCCCCAGACCAGGAGAAGACGTCATTCATCACGCCAAAGGGGACATACTGCTACAAGGTCATGCCCTTTGGACTACAGAATGCAGGAGCAACCTACCAACGACTGGTGAACAAGATGTTCCAGTCTCAGATCGGGCGAACAATGGAGGTATACGTAGATGACATGCTGGTGAAAAGTCTTGCGGCAGTGGACCACATTGATCACCTCCAATAAACTTTCAACGTCTTGAGGTCCTATCACATGAAGCTCAACCCTGAGAAGTGCGCCTTTGGTGTGGGGTCAGGAAAATTCTTGGGTTTTATGGTCGACCAGAGGGAAATTGAGGTGAATCCTGACAAGATCAAGGCCATCCTCGACATAAAGTCACCCTTCTCAACCAAGGAGCTCCAGCGCCTCAATGGGAGAATCACAGCGCTAAATAGGTTTGTCTCCAAGTCTGCAGACAAATGTCTCTCTTTCTTCAAAACACTCCGAAAGGCCTTTGAGTGGAAACCTGAGGCAGATGAGGCCTTTCAAAGGCTCAAATCCTACCTGGCAGCACCTCAACTCCTGTCACATGCCACTCCAGGAGAAGCTCTCCATCTATACCTTTCTGCTTCTTCATCAGCAGTAAGCTTAGTGCTCATCAGAAATGATAATGGAGTGCAGAAGCCAATTTATTATGTGAGCAGGGCATACCGGGGGAAAGAGGTCAAATATTTGACACTAGAAAAATTGGCACTCGCTCTTGTCACGACGGCGAGCCGACTGCGACACTACTTCCAGGGCCACTGTATAATGGTCATCACGGACCAACCTCTTAAAAGAGTCTTGGGAAAGCTGGACGTATCTGGAAGACTTCTTAAATGAGCAGTGGAACTTGGGGAGTTCAACATTCAGTACCAACCCAGGACAGCCATCAAAGCACAAGCCCTAGCAGATTTCGTTGCTGAACTCACACCAACAGAAGAGGGGAACAACGAGGATGCCCAGATGCCCAACAGGGACACCAAGAAGCCTAGCAAAGACCCTCAAGCAGGCGCTCAGGTCAGTTCGGGTGCCCAGGTCTCCTCCCTAGGAGCCCAAACAACCTTCCCTGATGCCCATGCATCCCAAGCTGCACCTCCAGCTCCTGATGCCCAGGCATCCCAGGCTGCACCTCCAGATGCCCAGACATCCCAAGCTGCACCTCCAGCTTCTGCAT